CTCTATGTAGACTTGAACTCACAGAGATCACCTGCCTCTGCCTCCTGAGTGCTGAGATTAAAGGCATGTGCCACCGTGCCTGGTTTTGGCTGCTAATACTTAACATTGAACTTTTCTTTTTCAAATGACTGTAAGATTTCTCTATCCTCATTGAGCTTAAACTGATTGATTCACTTTGCAAGTCTGAGGCTAATGTAGGATACAAATGTAAGACGCTAACAGTAATGGAAGATTAGAGAATTAGGATGTTGAAGGGCTGACTAGAAGTAAAATGTATATAGTGTACTAAAGAAGTAAATGGAACTCAAGAGAATGTAGGACTAGCAGCCTAGTATAGGGTAGTAGATAAGCTAAACATTAATGTGCCACATCCAATGCCCCCAGGACTGTGATAACCTCCTCTCAAACCGTAGCTGAGAGCCAGGCCTTCTTAGAGACCTTGAACTATATTGAGTCAGTGGCGTTGGGTGGACCACTGGTCTGCAGCCTCCTGAAGATGCGCTCCTCTGGGGTGCTTGTTCACCGTGGGAGGTGCCTCCTCAGAGACACTTGGCTCCAGTGTCTTGCCACTCAAGGGTAGGGTCAAGGAAAGATGCTCCCTACCATGCATCAGAGAAGGCGAGTGTGAAGAAAACTGGGGGCCCAGCACAAACCTGTGGAGTGAGGAAACAGGAAGTGAAAACCCTCCTCGCTGCACTAGTTCTCATTCATCCCTCAATGATAACACTTAACACCACGCCAGCTGGCAAAGCAGAAAGTTATTTTAAAATCCCAGGTCCGTTTGCAGAGAGAACAGGCATAAAGGCAACCTGAGTCAGAGGCAGTCAGAGAACCGAGGACATGATGTTGATTGTGGACATGACGTTGGATTGTTCCTGTGGATATTAAAACCAACCAGCTCTTGCCAGGGCCTGGACTGGAAGAGAAGCTCAGAAGCGAGACTGTTTCTTCAAGCATGACGTTGATGTGCCCACATCCAGTGCAAGCGGAGGACTCTACTGCAGGTTTTCTGAACGAGATTATCTGGGCATAATTCCACCAGGTCTTTGTCGTAACAAGTGCCTCAGCAGATTTGTGGTTAAAATAATAAAGCAATTGTGCGTATTTCGAATGCATCAAAGTGAAGAAATGGTATGACAGGTGCCAGTTTCCCCAGCAGTCGATTTTCATGCATGTTCACTTAAGCTACCTAGTTCAGCTCCAACCCTACCCTCATCCCCTTTTCTCTGCTGCAACCAGAAGGTTATCATCGTACGCATTCCTGCCTGTCCACCACTGCTCTAGGCAATGGGAAGCCTTTGAAGGGTTTTATCTCTCTTTTTTTGGTAAAGGGTTTCGCATAACCCATGCTGGTCTCAAACTCGCGTGCAGGCAAGAATGACCCTGGAATTCCTCATCTTCCCTCCTCTACCTCCCAAGTGCTGGAATCACAAGCTTGCACCCTCATGTCCAGCTCCTTTGAAGATGTTTTTCTATAAAGCAGGATGTCACTGGAAGCATAAAAACAAAATCGAACAAAATGAGCTAACAGAGGTCTCCTGGAGGATTCATTAGGACGGGAGGAGGGAGGCCAACCTTTCAGGAGGTAGTAGATTCAGTGAAGCCAAGGGCATGACACTAAACTTGATTTTTTACCCTTGCACCCTTCTGGGAGGCCTGTTCTGTTCTTGAGACCTCCAGTATCTGCCATCACCTTATTTCCCAGCTCATCAGTTCCTTTCTTGTTCCCAAGAACAAGCTCCGTTTTGCTTCCCAAGACAGCCTGGTTAGTCACTTCACATAGAAGTTTGCCTGCCCTGACATTAATCTGTAACAAATCTAGCTTTCGAATCTTAATGTTAACAATGATTCCTTTTGCTTTGATATGCTGTCGTGTGACCCTCTCAGCCTTTCCTTTATTACTTATAATAATCTGCTATAACTAAATGTAAAAGGCTTGGAGTGATGGGGCTCATCTATCCTGCAATAAAGAACTTTGGCAGGAGGATTGCCAGGAGGTTGAGCCCCCCCCCCCACCGGCATACATTATTGCATTCCAGGCTAAGCATACATACAGTGAAATCTTGTCACAACAACACAAAAATCAAAACAAGGCAGATTTCCATCTAGGCAACACTGGCCATGAGCCTGTTTTGGGCTAAACTATATTCCTGAAATGAGTCGAGCTTTGCTTGTCATCCTAAAATATAATTAATACCTCAATAATACTGCCAGCTTTTGTTTGCCCATGGAGTAAAATTCGCCTGAGCAATTGTGATGCTGTCCAAGTGACATACAAAACTGTGTCTAAATGGGTCATGTTGAGGAAGTAGTAAACTTAGCAACACATGGCTTCCATGTATTTCCATTACATAGATTTGGCCATGGGTCAAACCCAATTAAAATTTTGATTGACTATTTTTATGTTACTTATAAGTACAACAAGCCACAAACACAGAAGTAAAATCTTCATTATAGAACTAAGGATAGACCCCACATCATCACTGAATCTCAAAATGTTGGTGATAAGAAAACTACCGAGGCAGGCAACCATAGGGAATGACTGGGAAACATGAGACTCTACTTGGCTTGGGCTACTTGCACCTCCCTTTGCTAGCAGTGCATCTAGCAACATGTCAGCGACTCAGGAACCCCCCCACCCCCGCCTCCCCCTGACTCCCCCCTCCCCCCGCCTCCCCCCTCTCCCTCACCTCCCCCTCCCCCACCCCGCTTGCTTTAGGCCGCACATATTCCTGCTTTAGCAACACTTTGATACCGCCTGACAATCAGGTGCCCTTGAATATCTTTCATCTTTTGGCTGCTCTCAATCTTGATAATGTGTTTCTTCTGATCTGTACACTGTTGCTTCCCTTTGAATAATATTTGCTTGCTACTTTCACGAGATATGGGAGCTTTTATTTCAGTTCTTTGATTGAGAAAGCAAGAACCTGGAAACACCTGGTCCAGAGTAACGGCCACCAGTAGCACTACCATACTGTGCAATTCCTCTATGCGAGGTCCTCGAAGATAAAAGCTAATATAAAGGGGCTGAAAGCAGATGGCCAGGTGCCTGGGATGTGGAGAACAGGAAGCAAAGAAGCAGTTGGAAAGGCGCAGGCCCACTTTTGAGACTGACAGAAAAACTTCATCTAGGTCGGTGGTTCTCAACCTCTGTAATGCTGCGACCCTTTAATACACTTCCTCGTGTTGTGGTGACCCCAACCATAAACTGATTTTCACTGCTATTTCCTAACTGTAATTTTGTTACTCTTATGAATTGTAATGTAAATATCTGGTAAACAGTATATCTAATATCGACCCCTGTGAAAGGGTCATTTGACCCCCAGAAGGGTTGTGCCCCACAGGTTGAGAACCACCGATCTAGACTGTGTGTGATTCTAACCAAATGGCCTGAGAATGTCAAAATTATTAAGTTGGCCTGAGGCTATAGCTTAGTTGGTGGAGTGCTTGTCTAGCACCCACAAAATCCTAGGATCAATCCCAAGCACCCCGTAAACTGGGTGTAGGGCCACATGCCTATAACCCCAGCACTTGGGAGATGAAGGAAGAAGGATCAGGAATTCCAAGTCAGCTTCAGCTACAGGGAGCTGTCCCTATCGCTGTCACCATCACAAAGCAGGAGGAGGGGCAACAAGAAAGGACTGTGAGGCTGAGCAGGAAACAGCTATGATTAACCGTCTGCCTCCCATATGTAAGGAGAGATCCTGGTGATGAATGCCCCGCACTCTCTGACATAGAGCTATGCGATTAAATTTTGCCAGAAGTTTCTCTATAATATGACTATTTTCCCTGGTGCCAAAAATGTTTGAGAATAACGCGCCCCTCCTGGTCATGCTACAGATAAATTTATGGCAAGGCAAAGTTGAACAGTTCTGGATTCATGGCTGTGGCTTGTTTTCAGGTCACTGTTTTCAAGGGAGAGCGTTTGTGGATGGAGAAAGTGACTTTTTCAGTCTGGAGTGTAGACAGAGGACAAGCGCTCTTTTGTTCTCAAGTGCTCTGTCTCCAAGCATATTTCCCTGATTTTCTGTGACTGTGTCTGAGTCTGTGCTAAGGGTACTGCAGCTGGACTGTGGAGTGGAACCAGGTCCAGAAAAAGAATTGCTAAAGAATGCAAGTAAACAGGATGGCAGATGTTATCCTTAGCCTATTTCCCTAAACATAGCTTTTTTGGCTACAAAGTAAAATGCCATTCTTCCAGCTTCTGCTTATACGCGGTGATGGCTGACAGCAGGGACAATCTTCATTTGCTTGGCAAGTTGTCACCGTGTGACTTCACGTGTTTTGTAAGGAAGGAATGATCGTGACACACAAAATTTCTGTAAGATTGTCTGAGGACATGCGGCCATTTCTGGGAGGAATTTTCTCAACCCACCTAAGTCTTTGAGCTCTGTTTGACCAGCACAGCTCCCCACGAGGCTCAGAGCTGTCTGACCTAAGAGGTAGTTGGTATCTTCCTATCTACAGAAGCCAGATTTTTCACTGGAGCTAGACTGTACTGACAGTGTTTCCCAGTCTGCCCGGTGCACGTCTCCTTTCCAAGGTTCTCTGAAGTGCTGGCTCACTCTGGCTTCCACAAGCACTTGCTTACTTCTCTGCCTCCCAGCATCCTCTTCACTTCCTTTCCTGCAGCGAGAAGCTGTAGTGTGTGTTCCTCCCTTAAAAAAAAAAAAAAAAAAAAAAAAAAAAAAAAAAAAAAAAGAAAAAACCTAAAGAATTTGTTTTGCAGGTTTTGAAAAAAAAAAAAAAAAGAACACCAGCGATGTTATCCCAGGAGTTTGTCCATTCGTTATCATCCCTTCCCATATCTTTAAGTATGATCTCTGTGGTTTAGAAATCCCACGTTCCACTGTAGTTAAAGAAAAGTTGCCTTAAACCTTTGCCCTGCAAGCACCAGAAGGGAGCTCATAAAAAGGAAGACAGCAGCAGATGCAATCGCGGATGTGGCTTAGTCCTCGCAGCTGCCCCGGAGAGCTGTGCAGAGAGTACGAGCCCCAGTCATGAATCCAGAAGAACGCGTTGTGACATGGCTTATATCTTTGGGAGTTTTAGAGTCTCCCAAAAAGACCATCTGTGATCCAGAGGAGTTCCTGAAGTCCTCGCTGAAAAATGGGGTGGTGTTGTGCAAACTCATCAGCAGACTCCTGCCTGGTTCAGTGGAGAAGGTAAGGTCATTTTGCAGTGTCTTTGGGACTGCCTTCCACCACGGAGCAGCAATAATATCATTCTTGAGATTTTTTTTTTCTATGGCCCGGTCATGGGAATCCCCTACTTCAGTATCTTTCTAAAAGCCAGGCATTCTTTCTTACTGTCCCTGTGCTTTAAAAAGGTCAGAAAATGAAATGCTATCCTTCAGGAGTTGGCCCCCAAATGTACTAAAAACCTGTTACACCACTAGCAGTCCGGGATGGGAGGACTCGCTTATCATACCCAAGCTCGCTGTGTTGTGGAGGTGCGTGTTAAACTTCCCTGTGCATTTCAGACATGTTTTGATACATGAGTCTGTGGAATAATGAAATAATTTGGAGTAGATCTTTCTGGGGCTTGAGAGTTTGCCTAAAAATTGATGAAGACGTTATTTCTTTGAAACAAGAGCCATTGAAGAACTCTATTCACAGAAGTCAACGCTACATAAAACTCACAAAACCCAGAGAGAAACCAAGTGTGTTGCACTGAATGCAGTGAGCATTTAAAGTGAAACTAAACTTTGCTCAAGAAAATTTCAAGATTTTTGAGGTTAAAAGCCCACGCTTTAACAGTGGATGACTTCCAAAGTAGGTGCTTTTGTGGCACTGGAGTTCTTAGGATTCTTTTTATCAAGGTCGTGGTGGAATGGGGCCGTAAGTAAGGCTTCTTTGCCTCTTGGAATCAGTTCTATCTTTATTGAATGAGTGTTTACTTATAATTTCTTAAACTTGAGAAACGGTGATTAAACTAGCGATAAGAGGCAGCGTGACATGATAAAATATAGTGCCCAGCCAAAGTGAAATATAATATCAACAAATTATTATGGGGAGTAGAGGGAAGTAATCAGGGTGGCCTTTTTGAATGAAAGCAGGAAGTAAATTTAAATATATATATATATATATATTTAACATATGATAAATATATCTTAGTCTCTCCAGTTTGCTATCCCCACAACTAACTTGAAGGTATGAGGAAACCTTTTTAAGTAGAAACGGCTTGCAGACATTTGAAACAAAAAATCAACCATTTAGGCGTTTGCATCACTTCCTGCAGTGGCTAATTCTCTTCCTGGATGGAGAGCAGGGCTGTCCTGTACCTTCAAAAGCCGACCCCATCTAGTTATCTACAAAGGATGATGATCGTTTGTCATGGCTTAGCAATCTCTAAGTGACATTTGACTCTTTCTTTAGTATTGTCTGGAGCCCCAAACTGAAGACGACTGTATCAACAACATCAGTGACTTCCTGAAAGGATGTGCAACTCTTCAAGTGGAAGTAAGCTAACCTGCCTTGCCTTTCAATTTTCTCTTCTGTTAATAAAACGAGTCCGTAAGAAGTATGTGATTAGTTTTCACTGCCAGTAGCCACAAAGATAAACAGAGGTAGCCCCTCAGAGAAACCAGGGTTGAGACGAGTGGTCCCCAGTAGTGCATTGCTAGTGTGTGTCTTTCAGAATCCAGTTCTAAACAAAGCAAGATCACTAACTGGGCTTGGTGACACACACCTATAATCTGCAACACTAAGGTGGTGGAGGCAGGAAGATCAGAAGTTCAAGGTCATCTTTGGCTCTACATTTAAATTTGGAACCAGTCTGGGCTGCATGAAACTCTTTCTCAAAAAAAGCAAAAAAGAAAGAAAGAACAGAAGAAAAAGAAAAGAATAAATAAAACAACAGAATACAAAAATGATGACTTTTGAATGTAGCTTCTCTTCAGGTGAGCAAGGTTTTTGTGGGTGTGCTTCCTTATTAATGGGGGGAAAACTTGAGTCACTGGCTACAGCAGAGGGTCTCAAGAAGGAACAATAAAATAAATGAAAAAAATAAAAAGACATGGCCCAGTGCCAAATGATTAACCCTGAAAACATACTTACAAGCAACATTATACTGACTGAGCAGGTTATGTTTAGGAATATGTATGCATCTGTGCATACATATATACATGTAGTAACAACCAAAAAAGAGGCCATGAATTTAAAGGAGAGTGGAGAAGAAGGATTTGGAGGAAGAAAAAGGAACAGAGAACTGTTGTAATGAAAGAGAGAAAGAAAGAGAGGGAGAGAGAGAGAGAGAGGAAGAGAGAGAGAGGAAGAGAGGAAGAGGAAGAGAGAGAAAAATAAAGAAAGGAAGGAAGGAAGAATCTTGAGGAAAAAACAAAAAGAAGGGTCTCTTTACTCCCATTAACACTTTAGAACAGAGGGAGACCTTGGAAAACTACAAGAACCTGGCCTTCAAGTCAAAACTGTATTTAAACAGAGCAAGTGATACAGAGGCAAAGCAGTGGTAGAGGCTTGCTTGCAATGCACAAGGCCCTGGATTCAATATAAAGCAAAATAAAAACCCCAAGCCACGTTAAACTACGTTGCACGAGGAACCCTAATGCATGCATACATGGTATTGCTGAAAAAGAGTGCAATACTTCTGCGTGTGCCAAGTTACTGTTGATGCTCCATGTAGTTTCTGTGATGCAGGGATGGGATCCTCCTCTTGCACAAGGAATGCTAGCAAGGAGTTGAACCTTCATGCCCTCTCCTAAGGCTTTTGTCTGTGAAATAGGTGTAACACTAACTACCTCGCGTTGTTGTTTCAGGGTCAAGTGAGATATTGCTTAATTATGTAGATTTAAGAAAGTCAATGTCCGAAAATGTGTGAGATAATTTGGGTATTATCTTTAGCTCAGGGCCAGGTCAACAGGTAAACAAGTATTACCTGTGGGCAAGTGGTGGGGGTTTGAACGTGGACTCTGATGCAAAACTTCTTGGGTTTAAACCTCATTTTGTGCTCACTAGTGACATTATGACCTTGGAATCTGTTGTTTCACTATGCTTCTCTGTCTTGGCCTCTCCATCTATACAATAGGAACAACAGTGGCACCTGCCTGTCTATTGTGATTGGTATGAAATGTCAATGAATTAATACATGTAAAACTCCGGGAAGAGATACTGGGGCATATTATCCTTCAAGTAGCTATTTATTATTGTTGTTACTATTATTGTTATCTTTACTAGTCCTTGTCTCAGTTCAACTTTGTTTCCTTCCTAGTTGGGTGTAGTGGTGCACATCTTTAATCCCAGAATTCAAGAGGCAGAGGTAGGTAGTAGATCTACGTGAGCTCCAGGCCAGCCTGGTCTACATAGATAAGTTCTAGGCCAGCCCCAGCTACAATGCAACACCGTCTCAAAACAAGTTATTTTTTTCTTGAAGCTAAGCCTAATCTAAAGATACATCTGTGTCATAATATCTTATTCCAATCTTATTTACGTGGGTACTGGGGACCCAAATTTATTCCATTATTTCCTACTTCCCAGAGACACCTCAGCCATCTTGAGGTTCATGGTCCATGTGGCTTCAGAGCCCGTGGTAACCATTATAGGAAGCTATCTACTGTGGAACAGACCATGACATTTCTTGTTTGATTTTTCAAATAAAAACATGGTGAAGTTGTCAGCAATTTCTGCACTAAAGCTGCCAGAAGGTGCACTGTGCACTTCTTCTTTGCAGTTCTAAGAATACTGGGTGATACGGAAACACCTCCTGCGGCTCCACTGTTGGGGGCTTTCTGATAACTAAAGATTATTCTTTTAAGCACAAACGCTTAAAAGTCTTTTTTTTTAATCAAAAAATGTTTAGTTCACTTTGGGCAGAAATTTTACTAAAAAGTGTATCAGACGGATATGATATGAACATTGTGGTTATTTTATTCCTTCTGTAGTTTCTTTTTTTTTTTTTTTTGGTTTTTCGAGACAGGGTTTCTCTGTGGTTTTGGAGTCTGTCCTGGAACTAGCTCTGTAGACCAGGCTGATCTCGAACTCACAGAGATCCGCCTGCCTCTGCCTCCCAAGTGCTGGAATTAAAGGCGTGCACCACCACCGCCCGGCTTCCTTCTGTAGTTTCATAGGTGTGTGTGTGTATTGAGATATATGTACACTGTGTGGGGTACAAGTGTAGTGTTGGTGTCTTCTTCTATTTCTTTCCAGTTTACCTAAACCATTTTGAAACAGTTGATTTATAGAAAGTTCTCTCTCTCTCTCTCTCTCTCTCTCTCTCTCTCTCTCTCTCTCTCTCTGAGATGAAATCTCTCACAGTTTCGGATAAACTGGCTGGTCAACAGGCCCCTCACCCATCCAGCACCGCTCAGGATGATAGCAGCTGCTTTTGTGCTCAGCTTTTATGTGAAGGCTGGGGACCCGTTGGTCCTCTTGTTTGTGTAGCAAGCACTCTACTCACTGAGCCATCTCCCTAGCCCTATATGTTAGAACCTTCCTTCAGATCCCTGGAACTGGAGTTGCAGATGGTTGCGAGCTGCCACGTGCGTGCTGGAAATCGAACCCAGGGCCTCTACTAGAGCAGCCAGGGCTCTTAACTGCTGAGCCATCTCTCCAGCCTGATTGCAGAAGATTTTAAAATAATTTTTCAAAGTTAGCATTCAATGTGATGGGCTTCGTTGCAGACAACTATTTTCAGGGTCGAGTGAAAGATGGATCTACAGCTCTTCACGTATCATTGCGTCTAAACTCTAGTCTTACGGCCCACTGATACCTTGTGACTCAGTGCTCTTCATACTGTTATGCACAAAACTGAGCCACGTTGAGTCACTCACAGAGCCCTCAGGGAAGGCACATACAATCACCCCAGAAAGAATGAGACTGAAAGCTGAGCTGGAAGGCCTGGAGCCGCCAAGTATGTGGCCAGTCCAGTCCCCAAGCTTCCCGCAGCTGAAAAACAGACCTGTACAGAAGTATTCACAAAGGTCAGGGCGGAGGTGGGGGGGAGGGAGAGACAGAGAGAGACAGACACACACAGAGAGAGACAGAGACACACACACACACACACACAGAGAGAGAGAGAGAGAGAGAGAGAGAGAGAGAGAGAGAGAGAGAGAGAGAGATCTGTCTCTGGCAACGGTAGGAGGTACAGGGCATGTCTGGCTGAGCTGAGTTAACTTTCTAAAGCTCTAAACGTATGAAAAGAAAGGAGAGGGCTTGCCGGTTCCCCAGAGCGCCCTATCATTTCCTAGCATTTATCTGAAGAAAGGCTGCCAGTTTGAATCAGTCAGTTTGGAAGATTGTAACGCTGAGTCAGGGAGGTGGGGGCTGAGTATTGGGGTCCCAGGTATGGGGACCACATTATAGGTTGGTGATCACTGGGCCTCTCCAGATGCCCTCCATCTTCTGTTGACTGTGGATCTAAGAGTTTAGGGTCTCTAGTGGTTCATACAGCTAACAACAGAGAAATCTGAGAAACAAAAACTCCCTCCAATTTTCGTACTATCCTTTTAGACTTTAAAAAAATTTTTTTGACGAAGTCAGATTTTTTATTTTTGCATGTGCATGTATGTGTGCATGTGTGTGTGTGGGTGCGCACATGTGTGTGTCAGCCACAGTGTGTGTGTGTGTGTGTGTGTGTGTAGTTCAGAGATCATCTTTCAGCAATTATTTCTTCTGCCTCGTTGAGGCAGGATGGGTCTCATTTCTGCTGTTGCGGTGTGTCCTCTGGGCTAGCTCACCTGAGAGCTTCCCAGCAATTTTCTCATCTTTGCTTCTCATCTCCCTCTGCTGAAATGACAGATGTGCACCGAAGCAGCTGGCTTTTATTTTTCAATTAAAATGTATTTCATGTGTATGGGTGGTCTTCGAATCTGTGAACATGGTTATCTCTCCACGCATTTGCATCTTCTTTCATTTCTATCTTGTTTTTATGGTTTTTAGCATATGTGATTTATATCACTTTGGTTCAATTTTTTTGCACCAAGTATTTCATACTTTTTTTTTTAATTCAAAATAAGGTCTCATGCAACCTAGGCTGACCTTAAATTATGTAGCGATGTAGCTAAGGCTAACCCTGAACTCCTGAACCTCCTGCCTCTTCCTCTAAGTATGGGGATACACTTTTATATACTATTATATGTGGATTTTTTTTTAAAAAAAATATTTGTGCCGTCATGGTGGTATGCATCTTTCATCCCACATTTAGAAGGCAGAGGGAGTTAGATACCTGTGAGTTTCCGATCAGTGACTGCTACATAGTGAGATGCTATCTGAAATCCAGTTGTGTGTGTGTGTGTGTGTGTGAGTGTGTGAGCATATGTGTATTCATCTGCCTCTCTGTATGTATACCACATGCATATTGGTGTCTGCAGAGCCCAGAAAAGGACATTGGAACCCTGGAACTAGAGTAGTTATATGCGGTTGTGAGCTACTGGATTTGGATGTTAGGAACTAAACCCAGGTCCTCTGCAAGAGCAGGAAGTGCTCCTAACTTCTGATTCATCTCTGCA